AGTAAAAATGACCAAATACAGTATGCGTTTCTATTTTCGAACAGGCAAACACTCTGTATTTGTTTACCTGCTTCATCTTGGTCAGCTCCCTGCGTGTGTGTTCATCATTCCGTAGGTCTTTTTTGTTGCCTACAAGGATGATGGGAACGTTTGGACAAAAGTGTTTCACCTCAGGTGTCCACTTCTCTGGAATATTCTCTATACAGAGGTCAGAGAACAAAGGTCAGTTTTATTAGAAAATGAGAAAGTAAGTGTAATTTAAGCAATCACATATGGTAAAGGAACACAGAAAGATATACCAAAAAGTGTATCCTTACCTAAACTGTCAGGACTGTCAATAGAGAAGCACATTAGAATGACATCTGTGTCTGGGTATGAAAGAGGACGGAGCCTATCATAGTCCTCCTGTCCTGCGGTATCCCACAGAGCAAGTTCTACCTATCGGGTAAAAAGACACACTGAGCTTGAATGCACATTCTGAACATCCCAAACCATTAAAATGGACTTGCACTGCAAAAAAGGACAGATGGAGGGGCCATCAGCATGTTAAGCTAAATAAGGAAAGTGAATCAGGTCAATATTTTCACATTAAAGCCACATCTAAGACCTCCAACTGACAGGCAAAGACTTAACTTATTAAACTGGGTTTTGGGGTTTACATGTGAACACATAAATGAGCCAAACTTTAATTCCATCTTCATTTAACAATCCATCGTTTCATTAACCAGCATAAATTAACCTCAGTAAGTGATGTTATTTGATACATAACTACATAAAGCAGCAGAAAAACAAGGATGTTTATGCACATTGCATTTCTCATGCGTGTTTTGCTCACCTGTTTGCTGTCAACCTCGATGTCGGCAACATAGTTCTCAAACACCGTGGGTACGTAGACTTCAGGAAACTGGTCTTTACTGAACACGATAAGCAAACAGGTTTTACCGCACGCTCCATCTCCTACAATCACCAGCTTCTTGCGAATAGCTGCCATTCCTACAAAAGACACACACGTACACAGTTAAACACTGCTGCATTACACTCCGTCATCTTTTCCGCAGCAGCCGGGATAATCGTCATGGTTAAAATGCTGGTATACTTCATTTTTGAAGTATTCCATGTCATGTCCTGCAAAATTCAATCTCTAATATGAACAGTACCCTTCGTGGCAGTCCTCCGCTATTATAAAGTCCTGTAAAGACACACCATCCCATCCCTTAGGCCCAGTAATCAAAGCCACCCAGCGTTCAGAGAATCCTGAGTCCTCAGTTGACTCATCACCGCCAACGGTGACATCCGACAAGCCTTCACCAGAGTCATTTCAACATGACCACAGCAGAACCATCCGATCGCATCAACGTGATGCGTCACTTCATTTTCTGATCCAGAACAGACGTTTAAATAGAGGCAGATCTGGAAGTGTCTGTTAACTGGGCCAGATGTCTTTGAAGTGCAAGCTGCACCCCAGTGGCCAAGATAAAGCTGGCATCTACAGAACAGAGCCCACATTTTTGATGAACAGGCCCGTGGCGATGAGAGCAGCTCAGATGGACAGTAGATTAAACACTGACACACACACACACACAGTGCAGCAAATCTGAAGATCAAAGTCTGAAAAACAGCAGAAGAGACAAAGCCTTGCGCACTAAATATCAACTATTGGTTCTATCTTCCATATGGCCCACTATATTAATCATAAATGTGTAATGATGTGGGAGATTCTCACTCTTAACTTCAACATGTCTACTTAAATGGAGACAAGATACTAATGATATATTAATATAAGATGCTGTGCAGGCCGAGGGCCTGGAAAAGGCAAGGAAGCTCAAGACCTGAAGATGAACATGATGTTTATCAACACCTCCTTAAACTTATACTCTTATATCCTCATGGAAGTCAAACTTCATTGGGTTGCATGTGGCCACATGGCTTCTGGGACCTCCTGGTAACTGCATGGCAACACTAAGGTTAGTCAATTATTTAAAGTGATACAGATTAATCTGGATGACACCTGTTGGCTCAATAAACCTTCATTCGTGAAACACGGAGAACACGTTTCTGTGTAAAAAGGCTGTGGTATCAATCAACAATGTATATTTGCATAGAATTATTAAAGATTTACAATGGACAGTGTAAATAAGGCCCAATTGGAGTTTCAAACCACTGTATAGGATTAATGACACATATTAATAGGTATATTACTCACAATGACTTCTAATGGTCACTGGGAAAATTTAATGCATTCAAACAAAGGATTGCATTACTGTATCATAGCTAACTGGAAAAAAGTGAAGCTTGGGTCAATGCTTCTGACTTCCTATGCTTTTGTCTCCAACTTTAAAAAAAATCTGTTTGAATGACATTTTAGATAAACATATCTCACTTGAACACACCTAAATACTGTTTAATGCTACACTAACGTTACATTAAGCAAATCATAGATAAAAAGATAAAGTTCTTTGTCCAAAACTAAAACAATACCAAAGATTATCCCAGAGAAACTCATACATTTCAAATGATCAATAACCAGATAAGTATACATCAAAGGTTAATAAAACAAACCAATCAATCAGATTATAATTTACAAGATTTTCCAAAATCAGTTTATGAAACATGCTTATTTTAGAATACTAATCTTATTATATATCTATATTTTTATATATAAGTTACCACTGTAGAACAATGGTTCAATGGACGGTAAAAGATACATAAAATCATTAATCCTCTAGTTACGTCTAAATCTGAGATTTTGCGCATGTCTAGGTCGAGCTTTACGTTACGTTAGCTCTCTGCTTTAAAAAAACAAACAGCTCCTAACCAGATAACGTTACAACTGTTAGCTGCTACCGGTAATACAGATGAAATTTACGACCAAACACTTCTGTGTAAACTTCACCAGTTTCCCCAAACATTTAAAATCTCCTTTCCATGTCTAGATACATGGATAAAGCTTGAAACGGTTTTAAAAATCTGGACGCCGAGGGTAAGCTGCTAACGTTACTCCCGGCCGGCGGTTGCTTGCGGAAGCGGCGAATGGTCAGTCGCTAAGCTCGTACCTTTCCATGATATCAAAAAGTAGTTTTAAAACAACCATTCAGCGTCGAATTGGGCTTATAAAGTTTATAACAGGTGTATAAACACGGAGACGAGAAGATAAACTAATCTTACCAGCAGTTTAGATGGCTAGCCGTTTGGTTTTATTCCAACGGTGGAGCTCCGTCGCCTCTTCTGTCCGATACAATAAACCGTTGACGAGCACGCGCAGAGCGCGGGCATTCAGAAGGGGGAAGGGATGGCGTGCACGAGCTTGAGCCACGCCTGCGCGAGCACGTTGAAGAGAGTTTATTTGGCGGTGGATGAATGAGTCATTATGAGAAACGGACCACCCTTAACCACTATAACAAGGCAGTTTTGTGTTATATATGAATTTAAAAAGTAAAAAATGTGTGCCGTTCATGGAACAAAAATGACTATAATCTAACCAACGCACAACTTTTATTCCAGCCTAAAACAACCTCTACCACATAAGCATACCTTTTAATAAAGTTTCTTTGGAAGAGGAAATGTATCGCGGCGTGAAAGGTAATAATCAGCACCAAATATTATGTTTAACAGTTGTTTTTTTATAGGAGGCAATCGCATTTAACACTAACAGGATATCCCCCAGGCTGAATGAGTTTGTTGTTTTGAGTGGATTAGGAAATGCGTATTTGGAGGTTGCCCCATCTATTGGCGACTGTACCACATTACACTGCCTTTAGTCCACAAACAAACCCATGTTTTAGTGTTTATGCCACAAAGAAACTTCTGTAATTATTTACTTAATATCACGTTGTTCCAAGCCTATATTCTTCTGTGGAACACAAAAAGAGACACAAGTAGAATGAACGCTTTAGTCACCATCTACTTTTTATTGCATCTTTGTTCCATATAGGCTAATGTAAGTGAATGTTGGAGTGGGGGTGCTTTACTGTGGTCCAGCTTCAATTGTTGTAAAACACAGTAAGCCTCATGCAGAGCCTTTGTTAACTGCAATTATTTAAGGTCAATGCAAAGAAATGATCTCTGATTAAGGCCTAAATGTGTTGCAATCATGGGATTTTTAATTATTTTAATAGTATTCTGACATTTTTAAGGTGTATATATACTACCATTCGAATGTTTGGGGTCAGTAAGATTTCTTAATGAACTTTTATTCAGCAAAGATACATTAAATTGATCAAAAGTGACAAAAATGAGTGTGCACCATCCACTTGGATGATGCGATGGCAGCCACAGGGCAACGGGACCAGTGAGCTTACCACACAGGTGGAGAGGAGAGATTCAGTTGATGGGGATTATTAGGAGGCCATGATTGATAAGGGCCAATGGATGGAATGTGGCCAGGACACCGGGGCTACACCCCTACTCGTTTATGAGAAGTGCCATGGGATTTTTAATGACCAGAGTCAGGACCTCGGTTTAACGTCTCATCTGAAGGACGGTGCTTGTTACAGTAGTGTCCCCATCACTGCACTGGGGCATTATGACCCACACAGACCACAGGGTGAGCACCCCCTGCTGGCCTCACTAATAGCAGCAACTATGGGTTTTCCCATGAGGTCTCCCATCCAGGTCCTGACCAGGTTCAACCCTGCTTGGCTTCAGTGGGCAACCAGTCCTGGGCTACAGGGTGATATGGCTATAGCCATATCAAAATTAAAAGAATGTTTTCTATTAAAATAGAAAACATTCTTTTAAATTGTAATAACATTTCATAATATTACTGTTTTGTACTGTATTTTTTTATCAAATAAATGCAGCACTGTTGAGCTTAAAGAAACTTCTTCCAAAAACATTTTAAAAATCTTACCGACTCAAATTAATGTTAATGTATGTACATAGGCCTATATGTATAAGTTTATATATATATGCACAGTTTGCACACCATAATAAACACTAACAAATAATGTTAATAAATAACTGATCATTTGTTTTGAATCAATAAGGTCCTCTGGTGCAGGTGTGTTCATTTAGTCTTTATTAGAGATGGAGAAATCAGAGAATTAGGCTGAGATCTGAATCAGAGAAAGTGACTACCAGAGAAGCATCAAGGTTGACGCCTTGGAACCATGGTAAAACAGATCAACAATTACTAGTAAAAACCCCAAAGAAAAAAAAGGTTAAAAATATCAATGAAAACAAAGATTTAGGAACCCTACCCAAATATCATACATAACCACATTTCTCCAAAGAAATAGCTGAGCTATTTGTCAGAATACAAACTCAAACTCAAGCCACATTGTGTAGACAATCTGTGTTTTATAAAAACAGGTCCATTATGTAAGCTCATAATTTAGAGTTCAACACTCTTATCAAAGCCAACAGATATAGACATCATTAAAGTACAAGAGGAAAAGGGTACAACAGGGAACAGATTCAGATTCTATATTGCTATTATCATTTCAAACTATTCTGAACAAAAATATCTTTGAAATGACTGTATCCAACTCTCTCCTCTCTATGCCTCCACCTATTAAATCGCCGTGACTGAAAACAGGAAATCAGAGGGCTACATCCTGACCAATGAGAGGAGAGCCTTAAATTAGAGATCACTTTCTTTGAAAAGTCCCAACATTTGCAAACAATCCTTATCTTTAGCAATCCAGCCCTTGATGTTCCAGACATTCTTATGATGCTGTTACATCAGTAAGCAGCAATAAGTCCCATGGTCTGCTCAATAAATATCAGGAATATTGCCTTTTCCTGATACAAGGCCAAAAAACACCAAACAAAAAAAGGCAACCCATACAATTTTTTTAGAGTCTGCCATACATTTAAAAAGTTTTAATCCCATCAATCATTAGAGCATTTATTCAGAAACAATTCATCCCAGAAACCTTACACAAGAGGCCAGAGGGAGAGAAGATATTCTTTTTACAAAGCAGAAGTACTGGAGCACTGCAGATGCTATGATTCAGGCTAGTCCAGGGTTTTTTGTACAGCTGAAAAACTGAGTGTGGATGTCTTTGTCATTCAGTTTACTTATCTGGGTGATGTGTTCATTTAGTGGCAACTCCTTGTTTGTCTATGTAAAACTTTACCAAGATAGTGTGTGTGTCATGTCTCCAGTAGCATTTGTGTAAGGTTAAACTGAACTCTGCAGGACAAAAAGAAGGACTGTGTGTGTCTGTGTGTTAGGAATGGGTTGGAGCATCTTCGAAACTTATGATGCTGGACTCCTGTTGTCCCGTAGGATTTTGTGTGGTGCTGGGTGCTGGTGGCAAAGTCTCTCGGCTGGAAAGGAGAGGAGTGTCTGTCCGCACCTCCTCATCTTCGTCATCCTCCTCATCTTCCATGCTGGGCCAAGCCGACTGGTCTTCTGCGTGCTTCAGGCGCTCGTTCAAAGCTTTCAATGCCAATTGCCTATGGGAAAACAAGAAAATAAATTGATGCTGCTATCAAGACAATGAAGTTGCAGTTTCCCATAGGGCCATTTTTCTAGTTGCATTCGCACCGCCAGTAGGATCTCTGAAGTAGAGCTAGGTCTCGTTCAACATTTTTTGATACCGGCCCTGATCTTTTTTCCAATACCAATTTTATGAAAACTGTTTTAACAAGATTACATTACATATTATCTAAAAACGTTTTTTTTATTTTTACTCAGACTCATATAGGACACTGGGGGGTGGAATATATGCCTCGCACTCAAGCGTACGCGTAAAGCTTGCCGCAAAGCACTGGCAAAAGTAACCTATTGATTATGAATGTGTCGGGAAAAATATCAAGGAGACAATTTAATTTTGTATTAATAATCTGGTGTTTTCTGAGTCAGTGTTGGCTGCAAAGATGAAACTGACGTTGCTGACTCATCTCCGCATTATAATGAAAGCGCACGCGCGCCTATAGAGAGAAATGCACCTTTCATTTGGATTACATAATCAGAGAGAATTTGTTTTCGATTCGAATTGGTTGGTTTCAAGCTTTCTATATGTCTTTCTCATGTCTGTGAGGCAAGTAGCCTATACGCTGAGTTTCGGTTCATTTATATGACGCGCTCCATTTCTTGCAGTCGAAGACGGAGCAATTTTTTGCTCTTATGTTTATTCCGTGCAGTGTCAAGTGCTTCATCAGATTTGTTGTGTTGCCTGTCTTGGCAGCAGTTAACTTATGGCAAACATTGCATTACGCACTGTTGGCATCGAGCCTGGTGAAATGTAGCTACGCTTTTGATGTTTTCCACATCTTTTACATCTATGGGTGTTGGGACGCTTACACACTACAGCCTCACGTGTGAGCCACGTCTCTGGGCGTAACTAGTGTTTTTCCTTGATCCCTCGCTACAGCCAATCATACTACATGCTTATTGCTCACTGACGTTGACAAGATTAACCCCTTAAGCTATCGAAATTTGGTACCGAACTACAAGACATTTTTTGATAATCGATAGTAGAGGCAATTCAGTCGATGCCTAAAAAGTACAAAACTTGATACCCAGCCCTATTCTGAAGTGACTGCCCTGCCACTCTGGTTGTTGTGCGGGACTTTTATTTTGATGGCGCACACACAGTGCTCCCATTCTTCGTCTTCATCCAAGTGTGTCGGACTGAAAAGTCCTGAAAAGTGAAGCCAAAGCATTTTGATCGCCCCCTGGTGGCTAAATGCAGTATAGGTCTTAAACCATAGACTGTAAAAAAAATATGGACGTAGTGTCTGTGTCATCACCTGTAGGTTTCTGAAGAGCATTTTTAAAGTCTAAAAGTGGGCGGAGCCGGCCATCGCCATCTTGGCACCACGTTACTGCGCATCACTCCCGGATAACAGAAAATGGTCAAAGAGGCGGGACGTGGGTGGAGCTGAGGTGCCTGGTTGTCAGCAGGCAAACGGCTAGTAGTGACAGCAGTGGCAATCCACCTGTCACTCAAGTGGCCACGCCCTTAATTATGCAGAACTTTAAGGCTTAATATAATTTAAATGGATGAGTTATAAAAAAAATTCACCCCCCTCACAGTTGTCATTGAAGGGCAAAATTAGATATATAGACCAAAACCAATTTTTGTACCAGGCTGCAAAAATATTTCTTTCTGCTTTTATTTTTAATTTATTCTTTTTCCTCTTCTTTTAAGAAGTGTAAATTGAAGATGTATATGTAAAAGAGTGTAAGCATGTGTACTTGTTCTGTGGTTGTAAAATGAGAAAAGGACAAACGTATTGAAAAATAATAATAACTAATAGTACACTAAAAAGTATTATAGCGGTTGCTGTGTCGGTGATGCCTAGGGTTGGGTACCGAAACCTGGTGCCAATATGGCACCGGTACAAATCAGACGCAGATTTCGATGCCACTTAAATGTTTAAGTGAGTCATTAAACCGTTCATTCAACTAACATGATCCAAAGCGCAGATTCATTCAAAGACAGATGTAATGAAACAAGGTGTTGAAATTATTTTAACTGAGCGCCACTTTACAAGGCTCGGCTGAGCAGCAACACACTGCATGGGCAACACTGAAACTGGTGTTTCACTTTATAGAGATCAATGGCATTGATTTAAAACACTGACCAGCCATTCATGGGGAATACCCTTATTATGCAAAATTCCCTTTTATATGGCGTTTGAACATAAATGTGTGTTGGTAGTGTGTGTACACAACCACCCTATAATGATAAAAATCCACCCAGTGCTTTTTTTAAAATCCCCATAAATCATAAGGACTGTCTCAGAACAAGCTGTTCTCAGATTCGGGGCAATGTGATGTACTTTTGCACAAGCCCCTCCCACAACTGTTGACTGACACTGCAGTATTAGCGTAGACCCGCCCTGAGTGAGATAAACAAGACTGCCAATGTTTCGACGCCAGAGCAGCTGTAGACAAGAATGTCTCCTAAGCGATTGAGGTGTTTTGTTGTTGGATGTAAGAATGAACATAGTAGTCTTCATTTACTCTCGTTGTTACTTGAAGATGGATCTGTAGCAACTGTTCGTGATCCAGTTTACAGTCTCCTCAGCGATAGGCCTAATGTTACTGATCACTGCAGTAATGAAAGTGAGAGCACAGACTTTATCACAGCTCATCGAGTCGTTTTACGAATATGAAGTGTACCAGTTCATAAGCACCCACTGAAAAGTTAGTTGTAATGAGTGTTTTGTGCACTTCGCTGTGTATGTTGATGATAATGAAAGGGATAGAGAGAGAGTTTATGGATAAGACTTTAATGCATACTTCTTATACTGTGTTTATTCAGCTCTTACAGTGATTTTCTGGAGTAGAACTAACGCTTCAAGTTTTGTGTGATGTACAATAAACTTCGTGGAACTCATCAGTATATTTTTGCCCATCATTCCGACGGGGTCCGCTACAGCAGGCTTGTATTAGTAGTGGATAAAAGCAGATGACAAATACGTTATAACCGTAATTAACCTAAACTATACCTGTTCTACCGCCATACAGCATATATTCTCTGGCTCTGTGGGCATTATTGTCCGACTCCGGGTAGAAATGAACACTGCTACTGAGAGTTTCTGTTCTGATATTATCATTCGGTGAGATGAGATTGTCCTGGCTCTCAGCGCGAGCTCGTGATGCTCCGCCCGCTGTGCCGGCAGCAGCAGCTCATTTGCATTTAAAGGGATACACACTAAACGGTGAGTTTTTCTGAGTGACAATTTGAAAAAGTGACAATTAAAACATGCTGTAGAAAATGATCTGTTGGGTATTTTGAGCTAAAACTTCACATACACACTCTGGGGAAATCAGAGACTTATTTATCATCTTGTGAAAAGGGGCATTATAGGTGCCCTTTAAACGTTAAAAGAATGATACAACAAAGATTTAGCTTTTCTTGGACATGGCAACTTTTTATGAATATATGACTTGACCTGAAGGACAGAGGTGTGTAATCGCACGCGCTAAGTCAATCTCTCTCTTGTTCACTGTCTGTTAGTGTTGTCAAAAGTACCGTACATCTTTGACGCTCTTTACCGAGCACTTACACAAATACACACGGGAACGTTTGAACGCAAGCATAGATAGATGGATCCATTGATAGACGCCTGCGTTCAAACGCTCCCGTGTGCATCTGTGTAAGTGCTCGGTGAAGAGCGTCAAAAATGTCTATTTACAACATGTTTTTGAAGAGTTGATCATTGTAGCCAATCACAGACATATATGTTGAGCGGGTGAACACAATGGCCAATCAGAGGTGTTTAAGAATCCATTCAACAGCGCTCAAAATGCTAGAGGGAAATGCTGGTATCGTCATATTTTTTTAAATTTTAGTACTTGGTACCCGAAGTCGGTAATTTTGACAACACTAGTGTCTGTTTAGGCCTGTTAAGTGCAAATCCATAGAGCCTCGGTATAAATAACCATGATAAACACAGTCTTACCATTATTAACTGATTTAACATTCAATACACATGCACAGTGCAAAACAAGAAGGGCATAGCCTTATGGAAACAATGAAAAAACGTGAATATCGCGTTTGCTTGCATTCCTCTACTAATGCCTATTATTAGTACTGTAACTTATTTAGTGTTAAATTATTGTAGTTGGGTTAGGATTTATTGTGAATTTGTACTGTAAATTTGTTGTTTTGTGTTTACTTATATTTATATATTTAAGTATACTTTAAACTTTAGATTTAGATTTTTTTTTACAAATAAATCCATAGTCATTTTGTGGCTTTTTAAAAGTATCAGTTCAGGCACCGGTACCGTTTTAAAACTATTGATTTGGCAACGGTAGCTTAAAAAACCCAAATGATGACCAATGTCGCTAGCTGAGCAGAAATCAATTTTAAAACCTTCCATTGGCAAGTGTTAATGTGCCTACTATATACGTACTCTTCATCGTGCCTGAAGAAGACCTGAGGGTCGAAACGTTGCTTGCTTTTAATAAATTTCTTTTGGAGCAGTATTTTTCAGTGTGCGGACTTCACACTTCTTTATTTTGTTTATTTCACTTAGTTGTCCTGCACCTGAGCCCAATTTGGGTGTTTGGGATGTGCACACCAGCTTTGTATTTTTTGACTACTATATACGTACCCATCTAATGTATATGAGAACATGTTTGTGAGAGGATGTGTTGAGAGACGTCTGTTTTTTGTATTTTGTACTTTGTGTTGTCTTTGTAAAAACTGCGGAAGGGTCCAAAACAAATTTCCCTTCCTGGGACAATAAAGTATATCTTATCTTATCTTATGTTTCGCTTGGTCCCTTCAAAGTAGAGTTTCAAATCGCTGTTTTACATGTTCGTGGAGTTAATTTGTGTTAAATGTAAACAAACAAAAATTTGAAATGTTGCCTTGACAACTAACTGAAGTAAAACAAAAATATTAAACATAAAAGAAATAAAGCATGTAAGAAAATTGCTAAAAAATATAATAAAATGGAAAAAGAAAACCTAAATCCCAAAAATATGATAAAAGCCAAATCAAAATATTAATAAATACGATAATAGTATATAATACTAAAATAAGGTAAACGTACCTCCGCCTTTCTGCATCTTGAGGGTCTGTGCCTGGCAGGCTGATGGTGATGGAGGATGGAGCCCCAACATCATAGCGCTTCACCATTTTACGACAAACTTTCATCTTCACAAGGACGGAGTGCACAAGCCCGGCTGCAAACCCAACAGCCGGCTGGAGAGCCTCTGGGAAGAAAGAGGCGAAGGCAAAGTGGTCCGACATGTCTCCACGCCCCCTAGAGTGCCTCTGGTAAAAGCGCAGGTAAACCCACCCAGACAGTGCTCCGTACCCACACGCTGCTAGTGGAGCTGAAGTGTCCAGCAACCCCGCTAGCCGCAGCACAGCTATTGCAAGCAGAGCTAGTGCTGGGGCAGCTTTCAAGCGTATTTGAGGAACTCGAAGCACTGTGGTGTCTCCTGCAGTCTGCTTCAGCGCTACAAGAATGCCCCCAAGAAAAGCAGGTGCGCCGTACACCCGCACGGCAAACAGGTAGTCCAGGTCAAAGGTCGCAGCGTAGGTGAGAAGGTAGGAGAGTCCAGATAGGAGACCGGCTGCTACATTTACCACAGCGAAGAAAATCAGCAGCTCCAGCGCTCCCCATAATGGCTCCAAAAGCCGCCCGGCAACCATCACAGTAGCAATGTTTGCTGCCACACCAAAAATGTGCTGCTCCACCACCGCATGGGTCAGAAGTGTCCAAATCCAGAAGTTGGGAGGAAAAAGGAAGCCAGGTGTGACAGCAAGCAGGTAAGTGGTGTTAGCAGCCCAGGAGAGTAGGTACAGCAGGATTACTGTGGCACATATGGATTTGACCACCACACTCGTGCTTGCGAGAGCACTCAGAAAGTGCTGCCGTGCCACAGGCAGGTAACGGTTCATCCTGACGGATTCGAGTCCTCAGTTGCAAACACTCCAGAAACGGTGACCCTAAGAAATCAGCAGCTTGTGTCAAACATGAGGAACACAAGCAGGAGGTGAAACCTAAAACTCAACATGCATGCAGTGTGACCTCATCAACAGAGGTTCTGCAACATAAGAAACTTTGGGATGGGGGGAGAAAATGACGATTACCTCACACTGGTCTTACAGGTGATTGCAACACTTGTGGTGAGATAAGTAGACCTTAACCTCCCTCAAAAAGCAAAGAACTGTTGCTTTAAATAATATTGTTTCCTAGCAAATAGAACATCTGATCTGTCATGTAACGTTACGCATACAAAATACTTTAAAATACTAAAGCTTTATTCAAGTTAACTGTTGCTGAATAAGTAGTTGACCTCACTGAAAAAACATTATTATGACTATCTACCTGCTCAGGGTTTCCTGTTTCAGAGTTGTTAACATATAATTCATCACTTATGCGTTTCTATCCGAGTCGGTACTCTACCTGCTTATCAGCACCGTCTGCTAACACTCCATAAACCTCCCCTCCTCGGTCTGTTTTAGCACATTTTGTAGGTCAGTTTGACAGTCTCATGTCTTATAAAAGTCTTTTGGCTTTAGTTCAGGCACTTGCCGTATGTTTTACGGGTAAAACACGCGAAGATAGGCGAGTTTTGAGCAGCTTTCTCGCCGGTGGCATGTCCTCCCAAACCGGCCTGGAGTCGCAGTTCAGTCCGGGGATTTCCTCTCACAACAGGCCTTCAGGTAACAGGTTTGAAGCCAGAAACCGTGAATCCGAAACAAAAATCCCGGCTGATGTTTTTAATATCCTAACATCGTCATTTTACTTGAATTAAGCTTGTTTTGTTGTTTGAGAGTGTGGTGTTTCCAGCTAACAGCCACAAAGCGCAAACATCAGATTTGCAAACGTCACCGTCCAGCGTTGCGACTGGGCGTGTCGTTTACAGTGCTGCTTAGCTAAGACTGCTGGGAAATGTAGTCATTCTTTCCCCCATGAACGCTACACAAGTCGTTTTTCCTTTTTAACAGCTGTTTTCATCTATTCCTTCAAACTAACAAGTAGTTATTTTATGTTACTAGTATTTTTAAATACTAATAAGAAATTCAATAGTGACTAGTAGATAGAAAGGCTACTACAACTATTGCTTTGCTACTATCAGTGCTCGAGTAGCACCCCCTCAAGTTGGTCACGCGGATTCGTTGACCAACAGAAAGCTGTTTGATTTGAAAAAGACTCATGTGAGATGTGAGCAGAATTAAACTAGCGATTCAATTGTTTTAACAATAGTCAGTAACTACATGCAATAGCCACTGTATTAGCCCCTAATTAATATTTACTACTGAAATACAAATATATAGTCTGCTAGCCTAATAAGTATGGGATTACGTGCTATTAACTAAAAATACATAGTTTGTATTAAGGATTAAAGAGCAAATACCTGTTAAATGACAATATTTAATGCATTAATGTATTGTCCTATCTAGTCCACTAGATGGCAGACATAATTAATCTCACAATGACTTGTATGAAGCTTCTTTAAGCCTATTCTAGTTGTGATATAATAAGTGATGACAAATATCTCGAATTCCATCAGAGTCTGAAAAGGTTATGCAGTTACACAGAGGATGCGACCTCATGTGTGTAGAACATCATGTACAAAACCGGCCTCGGCTGTTCATTCACCTGTTCTCACCTGTACATCTGGGGTCTTGTGTACCCGCTGAGATGCTGACAGGTGTAATTGCACATATTTTGCCTTGTAGAGCAGACAGTGATACTTAAGCCAGAAAGAATAAAATGTTCTCACCCTCTCGCACACAAAACAGTTCCTGACGTCTTCAAAGACTTAGCTCCTCCACAAATTCAATATGTTTTTAATTTCAATGGTCTATGTCCATTTGTCTATCCTGGCAGTACACACGCACATTCTATCATGGCAAAGACTTTCCATTGAGTTCCATACTGAGCTGTTTTCTTGTATCCCCCAACCCTAAATCATTCAGCATTTTTACATTTTCATTAAGACAATTTACTGGGTTTGTGGGGAACATCTGGTATCCCAAATATTTTACTGTCCTAGGTGTCCTAGGAGGGTAACGAACAAGGCAGGTGGGAAACATTAAATTAATTACTAGGAAACGAGATGGGAGGGGCTAGACAATTGACAGGAGAGCACATGGCACAATGAATAAAAGACAAGCCATGTGCTCACAATAAACCAGACCAACACAAACACATGACAAACCAGCCCAGAGAAGACACAGATAAGGGTGACAGAACTGTGACACTACCCCCCCTCAAAGGGACGCCACCTGGCGTTCCCAAGGAGGGACACCAAGAACAAGACAGGAACAAGAAAATACAAAGCACCCGAACACAACAACGGACCAGACAGACAGACAGATCAAAACACCAATACAGGGAGGGGAGTGAGGGAAGCCAGTCCAGTCACTACCCGCCTAGCGGGCCACAAAGTCCTAAGCATAGACCAGGGAGGGACGGGAGGGTTGAGCCAAGTAACCTCAGGCTTGTCAGGAGTCCTGGCTGAGGTCCAGGGTGGTGCAGGCTGGACAGTACACCAGGGCGGATCAGGCTGTGCAGTACACCAGGGCGGATCAGGCTGTGCAGGACACCAGGGCGGATCAGGCTGTGCAGGACACCAGGGCGGATCAGGCTGTGCAGGACACCAGGGCGGATCAGGCTGTGCAGGACACCAGGGCGGATCAGGCTGTGCAGGACACCAGGGCGGATCAGGCTGTGCAGGACACCAGGGCGGATCAGGCTGTGCAGGACACCAGGGCGGATCAGGCTGTGCAGGACACCAGGGCGGATCAGGCTGTGCAGGACACCAGGGCGGATCAGGCTGTGCAGGACACCAGGGCGGATCAGGCTGTGCAGGACACCAGGGCGGATCAGGCTGTGCAGGACACCAGGGCGGATCAGGCTGTGCAGGACACCAGGGCGGATCAGGCTGTGCAGGACACCAGGGCGGATCAGGCTGTGCAGGACACCAGGGCGGATCAGGCTGTGCAGGACACCAGGGCGGATCAGGCTGTGCCGGACCCCAGGGCGGATCAGGCTGTGCAGGACACCAGGGCGGATCAGGCTGTGTAGACCCTTCGGGCGGCCATGGTGGAGATGACCATTCAGGTGGCCATGGTGGACAAACAGGCACCGGTTCAGGAACAGGCACCGACTCAGGGACAGACACCGGCTCAGGGACAGACACCGGCTCAGGGACCCCAACGCAAACAGTCTCTTGTGCAGCAGGCACGACGTGAACGGTCTCTTGTGCAGCAGGCACGACGTGAACGGTCTCTGGATCGGCAGAAGTGAGATGAGCGGTCTCTGGTTCGGCAGAAGTGACTTGAACGGTCTCTGGATCGGCAGAAGTGACTTGAACGGTCTCTGGATCGGCAGAAGTGACTTGAACGGTCTCTGGATCGGCAGAAGTGACTTGAACGGTCTCTGGATCGGCAGAAGTGACTTGAACGGTCTCTGGATCGGCAGAAGTGACTTGAACGGTCGTGACTCGAACGGTCTCTGGATCGGCAGAAGTGACTCGAACGATCTCTGGATCGGCAGAAGTGACTCGAACGGTCTCTGGATCGGCAGAAGTGACTCGAACGGTCTCTGGATCGGCAGAAGTGACACGCATGGGTGGCGCCGTCAGGGCGAGACGCTTGGGTGGCGCCGTCAGGGCGAGACGCTTGGGAGGCGCCGTCAGGGCGAGACGCTTGGGAGGCGCCGTCAGGGCGAGACGCTTGGGAGGCGCCGTCAGGGCGAGACGCTTGGGAGGCGCCGTCAGGGCGAGACGCTTGGGAGGCGCCGTCAGGGCGAGACGCTTGGGAGGCGCCGTCAGGGCGAGACGCTTGGGAGGCGCCGTCAGGGCGAGACGCTTGGGAGGCGCCGTCAGGGTGAGACGCTTGGGAGGCGCCGTTAGGGCGAGACGCTTGGGAGGCGCCGTCAGGGCGAGACGCTTGGGAGGCGCCGTCAGGGCGAGACGCTTGGGTGGCGCCGTCAGGGCGAGGCGTTGGGGCAGCGCTGGTTGGGCGAGGAGTCTGGAAACGGTCTCTGGGTTGACTGTAGGCTTAGGCCTAACCCCCGGGCCCTGTGGGATGCAGGAAGTCCTTCTCCTCCTTCTAGAGCGAGAGGGCGCTGCAACCTCCCCAGTCGCCACTGGATATGCTGCAGCCTCTTGGAGCACCAGACTTGAGACCCCCGAAGTCGGGTCCTCTCGGACCACCAGGGTTGAGGTCCCCGAAGTCGGTCCCCCCCCCCCCGGACCACCGAAGACGGGTTCTCCCGTACCACCGAAGTCGGGCCCTCCTGGACCACCGAAGACGGGATCTCCCGGATCACCGGACTTGAGACCCCCGAAGTCGGTTCCTCCCGGACCACCGAAGACGGGTTCTCCCGGACCACCAGACTAGGAACCTCCGAATCAGGGGAGGCAACAGTAGCCCTCCCTCTCCTGCGCTTCCGAGGTTGATGTGGTGTGGGAGTAACCACCTCTGGAGATGCTGCCACTTTTGGGGAAACCATAATCCCTTTAGTTGGAGAATTGTTGTGACGATCAAGGAGGCTTACAAAGTCCTCAAAAGTCAAAAACGACAATCCTCTCATGATCCCAAAGGATATGGGCTCATCAAGGGCATAACTGAACAAATCCTTCAATGCTGCATCACCAAGATTCAGTCCCTCAGCAGCAGCACTGAACCTCTGGGCAAACTCCCTCACGTTGGTCCCCTGTTGGCGAAGAGATGTCAGATCTCTGACTCTCAATATGCGTTCATATTGAGGGCATGACACTGGAGAGGCCGGTGGTTTGAAAAAACCCTTCCTCCGCTGAGTCCTCATAATGGCTTGTTCGTTCTGTCACGGATTGGTGTAGAAAAGGAAAGCGAGAACTCAATAGCAGAGAATGAAGGTTTAATAAAAATAGAAAATAAATCCAGGTACAAACTGAAAACAAAAGCAGGCAAACAGATAAGCAGGTCTAACGGCAGGAACACTAGGAAACATAATATAACGAACAAGCACAGGACTACAAACACAGGGAGACTAAATAGGGAACAAACAAGGAGGGTAACGAACAAGGCAGGTGGGAAACATTAAATTAATTACTAGGAAACGAGATGGGAGGGGCTAGACAATTGACAGGAGAGCACATGGCACAATGAATAAAAGACAAGCCATGTGCTCACAATAAACCAGACCAACACAAACACATGACAAACCAGCCCAGAGAAGACACAGATAAGGGTGACAGAACTGTGACACTAGGATCATTTGGACCTTACTCACAATGTATATAAAATCTGAACGCACACTATAGGGATATTTTCTATTTTCAAAACTAACCCTAACAGAAACCTTTATTTAGATTTTCATTACACCATTATTTATATATTTTCCTAATGGAGACCACTGGCTTCTGCCCATCCCCCTTAAACCCACGCACACCGAATACTAAACAGGACCTTTCCACAAATTCAATATGCCACATTTCTAGGAAAAGGAAGGTCATGACCCAATGACAGCACTCTTTAATTTTTAGTAGCTTTAATTAAGGAGCTCTGTCTCCTATTTCATTAGCCTCCAGTGACACATTTATCCAACACACCTAAGTGTGACGAATCAACACCTGATGAAAACATTTGGTTATGGAGACACAAATACGTGTGGTGCATTTCAATGTGAGAGAAAGAAGCAAGGGGAAAAGAGAAAGATAATAAGGGAGGGCAATAAGATCAATGTCACTGAAAATTGCTGCCGGCCCAGGCTTTGAATATACACTCACTTCATGCAAAACACACGGAAACACACTCACACTATCTGTCCTCTCCAATACTGTCAGTTTGTCATCCTGCGTTCCAGATCACATGGCATCTTTTCGTCTTTCATTCAGCATTCATCACACTACTCATCTGT